TTTTGCTTCTGCAGTTCTGATTGGTCCGCGTGCTTTTGACCTTGTCACACTGGGAGAAATGCACACACGCCACACGGCCGGTCTGTGTGTCCGAGCTGTCCGACTGGTGCGCTGGTGTTGGATACTTTCGTTCTTTCTTTCGCTTCGCCGCCCCTTTCTTCCTTTCTCCTTCGCCTTGTTCCCATGCTCTACTTGGTCCACGGCTCAGAATCGGTTTCGACTTCACGGCTCACCGCGTTCAGAGGGTGTTTAAACCCTGTTTATGGTGGAAACAGAAAAGGGACACCCACCCTGTCGTCGTCCTGCCAGCCGTTAGAGTTGTCTCACAGGCCAGAACCTACGTCTCCGTCACATTGGGACAAGTTCGCCCTAGGCCATATTTTCACATGTAGACATGACAAAAAAGGAATCCACCGACTGAAGCTTGTGCGTCTGCAAGCCGGAAGGGTAGACAGGCCAAGACCGATAGGCTCTTCTTCGACTGTACTATTTGCTTACGGCAACAGTCTTTACTGTTGAGTTCTGCTAAATTCGTCTGCTTTTTGTTGCTTGTCTCGTCCTCCAACTAGCCAGCCTGATACGCCTGCAGCTGACAATCGACCAAAAATCCATTATACAGATAGGTTTGTCAAGATGAATAATCGGCAGTATTCATACAACTTTCGCCCCACATGTACTGCCAACAATGAGACGGTAAAGTGCGCTGTCCGAAGCAAAATGAGTCTTGTTTTGCGGACTCGATTAGACAACTTGCGCTTTAACTCGAGATAACCTCTGACTGGCTCACTTGTCAAGGCAACTTGTGACATTGTTCAGGATAGATAGCCCAGAATCGAGACTTCAATACAAGCTATAATTCGACTCATTAAAATAGATTCTTAGGGAAATATGTGCTCGTATATTTTGCAGACTACTTATATGCCAGCAGTAATATGGTTCAAGTTTTTTGTTAAATATGCCTTTAAATTGTCTTTCTCACACCCACGAGTATGGAGAAGTCTTGTCTCTTGTCAAAGTCGACTGAGTTGTACAACTGATGAACCAAAACCTGATTTTTAGTTTGGAATAGTGACCGATGACTGGACACAGTCGGATTCGAAAGTGCTGAGCAAGATTCAGCATCGAATCTCACTGAAGCGCGAATTTGGAAATCCGGATTAAGAAAGACTTTTGGGAAACACATCTACGTAAAATGTAATGACATCAGTTTTCCTTACACTCATTTGACTGTAAGTGTCAAATCACCCTAATTCACCTTAAATCGCCTAGGGTGACTACAGCTTCATTTGATTGGTTGAATGTGTCAAGTCCATTCTATCTGCATTCAGAATCTGTGCACCCTTGTCCACAAACATGTGATAAAGCTCTAGACTTAATTAGTACCAGAGGATAAACAGTCATAGCGTTAAATTGAAGATGTGAAGACCAAGATGTTGTGGCCTCGGGTATGGTCGCAGTCTCCTTTCGACTTAT